TAATAATCGATTTATATCGGCGCGGGGGGTCTTTCTTAGATATTATTTCTCCGGGGCAACGGTGACGGTCGCCGCAGACGGGGCCTTTCTCGCGCTTTAGGCCCTGCGTGGACCGAGGGCGCAGGAGGGGGAGGGCAGAAATAAAAAGCCGCACTCGCTACACGCGAGGCTAGCAGCAGGGCAGGGAGCACGCCAACACCTGGCGGAGACAAAGGACGGCTAATGTCTCCGCTCGTTTTCGTTCTTATCAACAAAAGCGCCGCCACCTCCTGACATGATTCATATGAGATAAGCGCTATTGAATATGCAAAATCCATGCCTAAACGGACACTGAAAACGGGAGCAGCGTGCGCCCCTACAATTCTTCACAATCCAGCATTCAGCGCGTCAGTGGTGAATGATGCCGATGTGCGGCAGTTCGCAGGCCTCGAGCGCGGATGCGTCGCCGACGATCCCCGACGTCCGTCTGCTCATCTGCCGCCTCTAGATCTCTCTGTCTTGTGTAGTGTGGTCTCTCGTCTCTCGTTTTCTCTCGTGTCTCATTCTACTCTCTGTTTCTCTCGCACTCGATGCTCTTTTCCTCTATCTCTCTCTCTCGTCTCACTCGCTATCTCTCTCTCTTCTCTCCGCTCTCTATCTCTCACTCTCTCTATCTCAGCTCTCTCACTCTTATCTCGCTTTCTCTCTTTCGCCACTCCCGCTCCATCTCTTCCTGTACTTTTCGCTACCCTCCTCATCTTTTCGCTTCTGCTCACTGTCTATCTCTATCTCTATCGTCTGATTATATATCTCCTTTCGATCTATAATCTCTCTCCTCTCTTTTTTTGTTCTCTCTTCTCTCTTGTGCATCTCTAATCTCTTTTTATTTAGCTGATGGCTCTCACACACACACACACCGCGCACGAACGCACGCCACACATACGGCCTCGCTATGCCGCGCACGCACGCACGCCACACATACGCCTTCGGCGTTGCACGATGCGCGACGCAACGCACGTGCGTTGAGCGGACGCACGCAGCACGGGGTCGGCACGCACACACACACAACGCACACTTTCTCTATCCTCTTCGCCCACGCGCGCCGCTCTCTCTCTCTCTCTCTCTCTCTCTCTTCTCTCGTCTCCTCTGCGTCTCTCTTCTCTCTCTCATCCGTCCTCGTGCCGTTCTCTTTTTTCTTCATTTCCATTTCTCCTTTCTCTTTTCTCTCGCCGGCTTCTCCCTCCCCTCCCCTCTCGCTCCCTGCTCTCTTTCCTACGCTCGTATTCCTGATAAAATTGTTGTCTGTCTCTGGCCATTGACACTGAAGTACACGCAGCTGTTGCGAGTTTCACATCGCAGGGAAGACGCGAGACTCGAGCTTGCGCGCCGCGCGGCATATAATGGCCCGCCTGCGCCGACCGTTTAGCTTACTGGTCGGCAACGACAGGCGGCGTGTCGTCTGATATCGCCCCGCGCCGCGGTCCCCAGAGGGCATGATCGAACCGTGGCATGTAATTCGAAGAAATCCGGTACGAAATCTTCCCACAGTCGAGCATCCTCTCTGCACAAAAGACGTGCGCGCGGTGTGTCCAGTGGATGACATCGTCACCGACAACCGCTAAGCCTTCCATTACCTGCCTAATAGGCAATTTTCTCGCGAATGCCAGCGCCGGCAGACGTCGCGACATGCGGTATAAAGGCGACGCGAAACTTCGCGGTGGGGGTCGCCACAGGTGAATCTCTTCGTCCGTTGTGCAATGCGGGACGGATAAACGTGGGCGAGCGCCGTGACAGGCAGGGCCGGCGCACTATGCGAGCGTTATTAGCATGGTGTTCTTTTGTTGCATCTGTGTTGATCGTCGTCGTTAGCAGCTAAGTGAATTAATGCATCTTGTGTTTGGCATCTCGCGCGCGATCGCCGCCCCACAGCCACTCCGCAAACAGCGCAACGCGTATTCTGGAGACATTTCGCCACACTTTTGTTTTCACAAAATGGCAAATGTTGCTTTACTTGCGTTGGTCTATTCAATCAGAGTGTCGTTCTGTCAACACGGGTGCGTAATAAAAGTATTTACCCTCGCCCATGCTTTTGTGCCACAGCCATTTTCCTACAAACACGAACGCCAAAATTCTGGAACACACAAAGCTATGCGCTCAGGGCTGTTTGCGCAATTTCTCTTCATGCTCGATACTGGCTGCGCGCGTTCTTCCAATCAAAATAAATTAAACTGGACTTCTTCAACAAAGCTGCACGCGGCAGAGACACCGAGAATCACAGCTCTTGCGCTCACACGCCTGCCTGCCTGTTATATGCCTGCTGGTCTCCCCCAGGGCCGGTCTACTATGATGCGCGCTTACGTAGCGTACTACCCTATGGTCCCCAGGGTATCTACCGGACGTTATCCCTGGTACTATCTAATAGCCGGGACGCGCTTACCTCGCCTACTCCCACCTAACGAGTCTAAGGGAGGTCCGCCTACTGCCTACTCCCTAAACCCTAACCCTAACCCTAACCCTTTGCCCTAACCCTAACCATATCAAATAGTTACCAGGGTACGTTCCGGCAGTACCCTGGGAGACATAGACCCTATGAGCCCTACTAGCTTGTCTCTGTGTAACGCTAGCTGATGCTGTGCGAATGTCTCCCTCGCTTGCCTTCCTCTGTTCAACCCCCTCTACCGGTCTCTTGCTCTCTTTCTCCGTGTCAAAAGAGGAGGCCTATTTCTCGCCACCTCTCTGCTGTTGTATTTAATTGTGGGACTATCTCCGCCACCCGTTCTCTACCGACATCTCTCTCTCCCTCTCTTCTTTTCTCTATCTCTCTCTCTCTCTCTCTCTCTCTCCCTCTCTATCTTTCGCTTGCTCTGTCACGCCCCTTCTCTCTCCACCAACCCTTCTCTAGAATCTGTAAGGCGCACTGTAACGATATCTGTATGATAAGATCAAACATGACCCTCGCCCGAAAAACTGCATCTATGGATGTCCGCGATATGACAACATTAATCATATTCGTGATTCCGGGAGATGTCCCTCACTAGAGACACACACATATGCCCCCGTGCGTGAGTAAGCGGGGTGGGTATAGGCATCGATACAGGTGACTCGAAGCTACAACAACAGCGCCAACGCCAACAAGCGATCCATTAGGGCTGTTGAGTGAAAGACGAGGCGAAAGCGATCATTTCAATATTATGCCGAAATTATCATTCGTGATCCGCCCCATCTCCTTGATTTATGATAATATTAATAAGATGGTGCAAAAGCGCGGGAAACCCGAGCTAGAACACACAGCTGCTGCGGCGAATGCAAATTCACTGCGGTAAAGAACTATTAATGAAGTCGTGAAAGTAGAGAAGCCCCGATCATTGTTTTGCGTTAAAGCGATCGGTTTCCCACTTAATTCAATAAGCTGCGCATTAATTCCATTTCCCTCCATTTTCTGAATGAATGACGTGATACGATACCCCGGCAAAGCGTAAGGAAATTATTAAAATATTGCCTTTCTAAATAAACCGACCGGCCAAGCAACGCGACTATTGGGATTCGTGTTGGTTTACCATATTGCTAATGATGTGCAGATCATCGTATATTGGTGACCAGATCAGGAGGCTATTGACAGATGACTTACGCTATGCCCCGGTTGCCTGAGCATCGAGCGTACGCCGCAGCTGCGCTTGCCTGCATCGCCACGGCAACGAGGCAAGTAGGCGGTTGGTGGGCAGCGGTTTGCTAGGCGCTACGAGCGTGCTGCACGTTCGTACGTTTTTCGTGCGCGAAAGAGCGGCAGCGTGCGCGCGCGCCGTGACGCGGGGCCGATCTGTCGGCATGGAGGCGGCAGCGTCAAGCAGTGACAGAGGCTGGCAGGCACGCTTGCGCTCGAGGGTCATAATATATAGGCATATTATATTATATATATAAGCTATATATATAGTACAGCTATATATAGCACATAGCTATATATATATATATATATATATATATAGTCGTCACGCCGCCATTGCTGTTTGTTTTACGAAAACGAACTTTCGGTCTAAATTAAACGTCGATTAGCGAGAAACCTCGTACACATAATATATAGGCCTACTACGTACTTACAAAATCAACGTAAGGTATCGTTTCGAATTTGCATATAAAAAGTTAGTTGGCGTCTTAATGGGATAGGTCGATGCCATCAAACGCTTCCAAGAGACAAGACACGAGCTCAGCCGTTTATAGGATTAATGACACATCCGATGCTACAACGCGGGTATCACGTTCAATGTACACAGATAATAAATTTCTTTCGGTTATAATGACGCGGGGCACAAACAAAAGGATCATTAAAGCTGCGCACCGTTAAACCCCATTCGCATTTCGACATTGCTCTTGCTAGGTTGAGTGATAGCAAGCTGGTTTGTAATAGGATAGTATCAAACAACCATTTACGCATTGACATATGAATGGCGGCTTCTCGATGAATTATATACCACAACATTGCCAGTGCACTTGCTGTTTTACTACAGCTTTTAACAGCAGCTTGAAACTGGTTTTAAATCGCAGGGCGTGTTAAATTTTTAATAACTTCAACGCCCCCTTAAAAAAGTTAAATTGGAACGCATGTCCGTTATACATATGTTATACCTTAGTTGGCAAAATAAATTGAGTTTTAATGGTACCTAATACGGATGACCTTATGTTAGAACTAGATCAGGGGAGATACTGTGTATTAGACTCATGTAACAAGCCCTACGGGATACAGTTGTGGAAAGACGCATGTATACGTTAGTCATATATGTACACATGGTAATACTTCTGCTCATCAAAACACAGATAAGATAAAGCTCTAAAACATACACTCCAAGAAATATAAGCTATAAAGGTTATATAAAAAGAACAGACAGGTATAGATACGGAATATTTACTTACCAAGAGATTGTAAACTATCAGCTCTCTCTCTCTCTCTCCTCCTTCGCTCCCCTGTTCATGCTCCCTTTCCCTCTCTCACTGCAATACTACATAATTCGATTTAAAAAAAAGGATATTTGAGGCATGCCCTGGTGATCGTAGGTGGGGAATTCTCCTGAGCCGGATCCCTCGGAGGGCCCGTCATAGCCACCCATGCTTTCATTCTTCATGTTGTACGAGTAGCCGTCAGGCGAGTTGACTCGTGGCGACTCCTGCATCGGGGAACCCGTCATCGGTGTCATGCGCCGGTCGAAGACCGCATCGTCGTCGCCGCCGCGGACCTCGCCAAGACTCGGGTTTGGAATCGCGACACTTGTCAGCAGGCTCATCGGCGCCATCTGGTAGGGGCTGTCGCCAACGCGCTTCGCCGGCGCGTCGTCAATGTTGATGCGCGTGCTCGTGCGTGGCGACAGTCGCGTGTCCGTCACCTTGTGGCGCTTCTTCTTCGTCGGCATGACGAGCGACATCGCCTCCAGCTGCTCCATGTGCTCCTGCATCGTCGGCTTGTACATCGGTGGCGGTGGCGGCGTCGGCACGCCACAGTGGTTGTAGAGACCGTACGGCGCCTGCATCGCGAAGAACGGGTGACCGTTCGGCAGCGGCGGATGCATCATCGCCTCGTACTGCACCGGCGGCACGCACATCTGCTGCGGCAATGGGTACTTCGGCTCCATCTTGCCCTTGTCGGAGATCTTCGTCGGCGCCATCTTGCTGCGTGCGCTGGGGCTGTGGCCAACCGGACCGGTCGGCGGGCAGAGGCGGTCGTCCGAGAGCGCGGCGCGGCGCGAGCGCACGTGCAGCACGAAGCGCGCGACGATCGAGTCGATGATGAGCGACACGGACGTGACGAGCTCGGCCTTGAGCGCGTGAGCGAGCGTCTCGATCTCGGCGTCGGTGTAGTGCACCTTCTCGTGGAAGTTCTTCGCGGCCATCTCTTGCTCGCTGACCAGACGCCGCGCCTGGTCGATGAAGTGCGAGGGGTCAAGTCCGTCCGGCGGGCGGGCGGGGTCTCCGGCCGGCCGCGCCTCACCGTTCCCCTTTGGAGTGCTGGCCAGTCTTGGTGGGGCGGCAGGTCTGCGCATGTTGTCAGTGTTCTCGTTGGCGTCGGTGGCCGCCTCGACCTGCTCCTCCTCGAAAAGAGCCGTGTAGCACTGCTTCATGTGAGACAGCTGGTTCTGTAGTTGCTGAAGCTGTGAGCGAAGCATCTCAGCCTCGCCCGTAGCGCCGCCCCCCGCAGCGCCACCTTCCAGCTTGAAGGGTTGCTGTTGCGGCACGTACTGCTTGCGCTTTGGCTTGCGGATGACTGGCGACAGTCGGTTGCTCTGCATGTCACCGGATCTTGCAGGAGACATGCGCATGCTCGTCACTATCGCGTCGACTCTGGCTCTCTTTGCCTGCAAAGAAACGTACGGAGAACTGTCTTTCAAAGCTGTATGGAGGTCACTGGTAGGCAATGATGGTCGAAGACAAATTGTATAATAGAGACAACGTTACTCAACAGAAGCAAGGCACAGAGACGTTTCCTTCACACCAGAGGTGTCTTCGGCAACAGATGAATACAATGTCTGAAGCACAGCAACAATAAACAGTAAAGTTACTGCAAAAAGTTATACTTTTCTGCGAAGTCGACAAGCCTCGAATAGTCGAATAATAAGGAAAACGTGTAGATAACTCACGCAGGCATAACGGGAACCTTATTGTTCGTTTTTCCACACACACACAGTTGCTACGGAACAAAGCTTCTCTGCCGAAACAGAGGTCACTTGTGAAATTAAGAATGGAAGAAATACAATGCTGATAACAAAATGTGAGACTGAAACAAAGGCACAATTCTGTCCGAAGTTGCACAATGAACTCACTCTACCATGTGTTCCTGCGATCAAACAGAGATCCCTAGCGATTACATGAGGATATTAACCCTGTAAAAGTAATTGTCATCCAAGTTTGCTATCGCGCAAAACAGTTTTTTTTCTGAATACGGCCATTGTTAACGAAGATTTACAGAAACCTGTTAGAATTACTGTTCTTTAGCTTTATTGCTGCAGAAAATTGAAGATAATTTCCTCCACAGTGGCAAAACCGCTTGAAAAAACACATCATACATCTCTCCCTGTGTGACATTGGGTCGGAACTATTTAATCGCAGTATTCAGTATTCACATTTCCTAGGCGAAGTGTGCCCGCGCGTGCGTGCGCGCGTGTGTGGGTCCACATGACAGCACAGCCAACAAGTACTTATATATAAAGAGAGACAGCGTGTGTATGCGTGCGTGCGTGCGTGCGTGCGTGCGTGCGTGCGTACTCGCACATATACAAACTGCTAGCAGCGTTTATTGATTCACGCAATATATGTGTTTTATCCAATAACTTGCACCCCACTTTGCTCATATTCCCAGACCTTTATATGAAATTAAACGTACCAGTGGCCCACAGGCCGTTGCTACAACTAATAAACTGTGTAACCCTATAGTAGAGCTTACAGCTAGAAATTCCAAAACAGTAACGTCTGAAAAAACGGCCCGAAATAGTTTAATTTTTAAACAAATAAGTTAATAGTTAGGAAGTAGCGAATAAATAGGTTGTATATGTCACAGGATCTCTAAACTACGACACATGAAAAGTGTCATTATCTTGTCACTGTGAAAACATACAGCACCGGCAACACGTTTTAAATCCTTTGTAAAAACTAGGTTTACCTCAAATACTATTGTCCGGTCACAGTAACATACGTATGTTAGATCTGTCTATGATTTTCTTTTTTTGTAAAACTACCAGTCTTTAATAAATAAAGTTAAGAAAAAATTAAGTTATTCAAATGTCAAGAAAGTTTTTACTCTTATTTTACATTGCCCCACCCCCCGAGAAAATATATTTTAGCTATGCTGCCATTTGGATGCCTCTATATAGACGCATAAGTTTTTCAATCTGAGAAATATGCATAAATACGGGCACAAGTATCAAATCAATATCATATGAATTGCTTTTACAGGTAATATAAAAAATGGCATCTGCATGATCAGGCTATGCAAATATGCCAATTACAAGAGTTTAAAAAAATCAATGCAATATTATTGTAACTTTACCCATAACCGTCTGAATTTCTGAAACTAGCAATTAGGTGACTTATGAAAATTTGATCATCCTATCATTAATTTAGGAAATCAATAACTCTAATTAAAAATATATTTACTTGTCTTGTCATCAGACAATTCTTAAAATATGCCCTGCAGATAAAATAGCATAACAACGGTGGAAAGCTCACAAACACTCATAGCACCGGCTAGCTAGTTCTGCGCTAAATAGCAGAAACTGGCAAATAAGTTTTCGTTTTAAATGAAAGAAAATTCCGAGACGTTTGACGACAGTAGCAAGCTTGCGATGGAACAAACTAAGTTTATCATTACACTGTTTAAAAACTTATAGTAGGCAGACCAAGATTTTTTTTGTAAAACAGACTTGTTAATCATGTGTTAAACTTTACTAGTTTTAATTTTCATGGTTCTTAAAATGAAAACCAGAATCAAAGTTTTTACCACACCATGATCGTCAAATATATATTGAAGAATTCGCGTAGGAAAAAAGACGAATTTAAATATATAGTAAACTTATAGTAAATTAATATTTCTGAATCGTCAATTAAATAAATCCGGCACCTGGGATTCATTCGCGACATTCAACCCACGTGTTCACTTTTTACAAATTAATAAAAAGCTTGAATAAATAAAAATCTGATTTCCTGTACTATATATATAAATATAAACGTGTGTCTGCGAGCATGCGAGCGTGCGTGCGTGCACGCGTGCGTGTTTGTGTGTATTGCGTGCGTGTGTGTGTGAAAGAGAGTATGTGCGTATATGTGTGTGTGCGTGCGGATGTATGAGGGTGGGTGGGTGTGTGCGTGCGTTCGTGCCTGAGTGCGTGCGTGCGCGTACGTGTATATATAATATGTATGAGTGTGCGTAAGCGTAAGGGCATATCCATGCATGCGTATGCCTACCTGCATACGAAGTTGCGTGCCTGCATAAATATATAATTGTGCAATGTGATTCCCAAGTCTAAGTCTAAAGGCCATAAATTGCAAGGAACTCGGTTGCGTAGCAGTGGCCCGCATTGGGTGTTTGCCTCCGCCGAGCTGGCACGGCACGGTCTGTTCTAACACAACTATCAACAGGATCCTAATAAAGCATTTTCAGCAAACCTTCTGCTTGGTCAATATTGAAACAAATGCTAGGGGGAAATTAATACAAACAGATCACGACAAACAAAAACATTTTCTTAATATATCAAAGTCAGATCAGATATTTTCCGACTTTCTGCTTCGCTTATGTAACGTAAGGCCGACAAACAAGGAGAGCCAGCGGGTAGGTATAATGCGGGCTAGGCTCGGTTTAGCACGCGTGGCAGATGCGCTGCGGTCAGAACTGCCACAAGGTATCTCACATGACGGCACAAAGACCTCTCTTGTCCGATCAGGCAGCGCAGACGCGCGTGCACACGCACCTCACGTACGCGCAACCACGCGCCACAGCTACCACGAACACATAAAAACACTGAAACCGCTTAGCTTTATTGAAGGACTACCCGACGACCCCCCCCCCTCCTACTACGCGCACAGCTAGTACGTGTACGTGTGCAACTGTTTACGGAATTGCTGAGCTATTTGCACGAAGTGAGGTAATGTGCACAAAACCAGACACGTATGCGCGCACGCGTGCATGGTGTACGGGTCTCATACCGCGGCGTTTGCCACAATCGATAGGCACGTAAGAAACCAACACGCAACTGGCAGTTTTTTCTAATGCAAATAAAATCAATGTATCTGATTGAGCGCAAACTTGTCTCTGGTACATGTGTCTCATCTATTTTTAAATGATAAGCTTAAAATTAATGAATTAATAATACAAAATACACGCTTGCATGTGAGCAGTGCAACTTAGCTGCCATATCTAATTTGCCCTTTGTTCTGTTATATATTATGCGTACTCTTACACTATGAGAATTTTCCACAATACAATTCTACGAGTTTTTTGTCATAACAATCTTCAATTATTTACACAATCAATAGTCAGAGAACTGGAAAAATCGATAGCCTTTAAAGTCTCTAGACACAATAAAAATAAACTTCTTTAAAAAAATACAAAATCTAGTAACTAAGGATTAGACAAGTGGCGAGTTAAAATTTTACGCTCATTTTTACCTGCATTCTTTATTATAGTTTGATATTAGAATTTGCATTTTTAATAGAGATATTTTTTATGTAGGGAGGGGGTCATGGATAACACAACTGTCTCTTTAAAACAATCTTCAAATATAATTACTTATAAGGCTACAACTACAACCTACACAGTACACTATACTACTACACTACTACAAACTACAAACTACAATCTTTACTCTACTTACTTACTGTACTTACTATACTTTACTCTACTATCTTTAAATAAAATTAGCTACGATTACATAATCACATCCTTCAAACATAAATCTACATAAATTTTCAAGAACTGGAACAAACCCAGCTTGAAAATTAACATAGGAAGACGTGAAGGCAAAATGAAAATGCGTGACGAAAACACAATTGATCGTACTCACCTGTACGGAGTCCTCCTCGTATCCGTTGTTTATGTTACTGTTATTGTTGTTGTTGCTGTTACTGTTGTTGTTGTTGTTGCTGCCGCTGTTGTTGTTGCTGCTGCTGGTGGTGCTGTTGTTGTTCCCACTCGTGACGTTGCTAGCGGATGCTGGGCGTGGGTTGGCAGTGGCCGTCGTGGGGGATGTTGTTGTTGACTCGCAGGCACTCAAGCTGGTCTGGCCCTGCATTGCTTGGCCGTCGTCCAGTGTCTCTGATTCACTGTCCTCGGATGACGACTCGCTCATAGCACGCTGGGTCTCGCATGACCCATTCTGCTTGAGTGCTTGCTCCTGCAGGAGATGGCTGATGATCGTACCGGGAGGTGGACTCGTCTTGTTCAGCAGGCGGTGGTGGTGTCCCTGCCGCTCCTTGTTCTGCAGTATCTCGCGCAGCAGTGTCGACCCGTCGACGGACGGTAAGTGTTCGGAACGATTCACACCGCCGACGCCGCCCGTTACAAGTACATTCCCACCCTTCCCGTCCAGCTGATCAAGCTCGGCCGTCTTGGCCGCGATGCTCTCACGGATGAGGTCGTTGATGGAGCGAACAGCCGGGCTGAGACAGTCCGGCCTGAGAGGCGGTGAGGCGAGGCTGTAGCCGTTCGTCGGCCGCAGCGGCGAGTAGCTGGTGATCGTCGCGTAGCTGTTGCGCGGCTCCCCGGCGTCAACTCGTTGTCGCGTCCGCTTCACTTTCTTCGCCTGCTGTCCCGCGAACAGTCTGCCCGTGTCGACGCCCGCAGCCAAGTGAGAAGAATGGTCGCTCTCATCTCCGGATGACATGCTTACGCTGACCTGCCACCTGTCATAGCCCGCCTGAAACATATAATTACCCGGAGCCTTTTCTTAACAACAATAGACACTGCGCTCGCGCTCTGAAACAATAGCGACGCACAGGAAGTCATTATTTTCGGGGGTAGGGGGGGGGAGCGAGGTGGGCGCAATTTTCTAAGGCACTCACCATGAGAAGGGAGAGAGGGAGAGAGAAAAAAACGCACGCCTCGTTGTGCAGCCGGCAGATTACGGGGTGTGATTAGATAAAATATTAAGCTCTAATGTGTCACACTTCAGTAATCGGCCTTCCTGTGCGGAAAGCTCACCAAAGCACATGTTCAGCATTTTATAGCGTCAAGGCAGCCGGACACTCCTCCCACAGCCACCGATCCATATCTTACAGCCAATGAGAAAATATGCCTCATGGATTTGGCACTTCCCACGCGCACCCAGATTGCTCCGCTGCTCATCAATATCTTCAGAAACATCGCAGCACACGAACAGGCAGGCAGGCACACACTCTGTACGTACCGCGGGCTGCATTGTCCAGAGGTGGCGACGAAGAGCGAGCACGCACGCGAGACAGAGAAAGAGAACGAGAGGGAGAGAGAAGCGCGGCCAGACTGAAGAGAGAGAGAGAGAGAGAGAGAGAGATAGAGAGAGAGATAGAGAAGGATGAAGGAGAGTGATAGAGAGATAGAACGAGAGCAAACGAAAAAACGAACAAGAGAGAGAACACAAATAGAGGGAGAGAGAGAGCGACAGAAAGAAAGAGAGAGAGAGAGAGATAGAGAGAGAGAGAGCGCGCCAGAGAGAGAGAATGATTGAGAGAGAGAGGGAGAACTCTCACAACAAGAATCTCAATAAGAACAACTCTTGACAAGAATTTAATCTATACGTACTTTTGTTTTAGGTAGGTATATACTGTCCGTAAAGCTGTACAGTAACATTATGCCTATATATATGACGCCCACACTAGACACACAGTTCCGCATATACAATGTCTGACTTGTACAATCCTCGGTAGAAATAATGATCACATGTATGCACACTGCCATATATAGCTATTGTATACATTAAACAGGATATACTGCCTGCGGATATCATGTTATTATTATATATATATATATATATATACATATACATATATATATATATATATATCAAGAGTCCATAATAGAAAATTCAATTTCTATTATTCTCTATTTCTCTATTCTATTTTATTCTATTAATCTAGAATTTTATATTATGGACTCTTGATATATATAATATAGTTCTCTCAAATAATATCAGTTACTAACTACAGTACTGATTGTTGTTTTTAACTGTAGCCTTGCAGACACAGGTGAAGAAAATGCAAATTTAGACTGTTCCGGCATATTTTTAATGCTAGAGAATGGGGATTATTGTATGGAACTGCTCGGATTTAAATATAAATGAGGCGCAGTTTCTGAATTTCAATCAAGACAAATGCAGGAAATACTCACTTGAGACAAGTTAACCATTACGTGTCTAAATACAACTGGACTAAATATCGATGTGTGATAAGAACACAATGCATTAAAATCAAACAAAGAAACACAATGCAACCGAATCAGGAGTCTATCAATAGATTATGATATTAATATATTGAGATTAATATATTGATAGACTCCTGACCGAATGTTTGATAGAACGTGTCTAATGCTAAAAAGAATGAAAACAGAAAAATAGTACATATATATATAGATCACGTTGCTGACCTATGTACTGTGATTTCTTCTTCGCCTTGGCTAACTTATATACATATACGTTAAAGTACAAAACACGTACATAAAAAAATCGCCGGAATGTTCTTTCGTCTGACAGAGCATGTAGGCAGCAACTGTCTGTTATTTATTATAAGCGCTGTAGGAGAGCACTACTGCTGATCATGACCTTGATCACAGGAGCGGGGAAGAGACATCTCTACGGCCGCGTGGGGTTGCTGACACGAAATGACAGGAAGTCGTACAATGTGAGAGCAGGCGGCGAAGAAAGCAGAGGAAAGGGAAGTGCATCGCTGATAAAACCGGGGCTCACTTGACAATCGGCAAGATGTTTAACGCGCCCGCTAAACGCCGCGTTATAGCCACGACCAACCCACACCACCTCCTCGACCACGCGCGACGAGCCGGCCCTCCCCCTAGCCCCGCCCAGCGACGACTGTCGTCAGGCGCCGATCGCGACGCCACCTACGGTCGCGGCGGCACAGCAAGTTTCGATGAACCTGCTTCAGCCGATAAGGGCGACGCTCAGCGAACAATGGGCGGCTCGGAGCGCTGATCCCTCCGCCATAAAGCCCATAAAACACTAGTGGAAGGAAGTTCCAAATTAAGATAGGACCCACGACTGAATGCAGATCCCGCCGCGCAGAAAGAAGGTGGGCAACAATATCGGATGAAATCTACGGCATTATCTAAGGCACCAACAGAGCATGACTTCCTCTGCCAAGCCACAATAGCAGGCCTGTGAATGGCTACAGGGCGAACAATGGACCGTACTTTCGCGCCGCTGCATAAAAGACACAGAAAAGAAGCAGTTTAACTTCCCTGTAACCACCGTAATTGTGATGGAGCAGTTAAACAATTTGTAGATGTATAAATGTATGATTTTCGCCATTATATCTGTCATATACATCTCCAGTTACGAAGAGCTTTCACCCTATCGACCCTCTCGCTCCTCACACATGTAGCTAGGTCTGGTGATTGTGCTCGTTCGTCCGCATTGTACACGCCTGTCGGTACCCCTGGTACACGCAGGTCAAACGAGGTGACGAGTCAAGATTATGAGGCGTGGGTAATTACAACAGTGCGAAAACCAGTCTCTGATTCGTGGCTGGCATTGTTTTTCCAGTGTGCACGTGTACTTGTAACCGCGATAGTAATTAAACGATTGAAGCGAAACTAGAAACTACTAGTAGTTAGTATTGAGGAGGGGTGTGGAAAGCGGACAGGCACTGAGGTGATGACAAAACGAATCCACTATTGAATGTATGATATAAGTATATATATATATAATACAATATATATAAAATATATATATGTATAATTAGCATTAATGTTGCCTACTGATTGCAGTTACCATTAACTTCTGGCAGCTACAGAGACTCGCTAACTCGTACAATGACATGATCGATTTACCAATGGATATTTGCATAGAAAAGCGATATATAACTCCTGGCTGCATGTATTGCGCATATACGAAATGCAAATATTGGTTATATATACATAGAGTACTTATAGATGATGTTAGAGATAGTTCTTGTGTAAGATGTAAACAGTTAAGATAAGTTTTTTGAGGATTACGTTATGATTATTCCAAAAAAGTCGCCCCCAGGAGTAATAATAGGGATTATCCTAATAATCTACTCCTGATATATATATATATATAATAATATATAGAATATATATATATAATTATATATACATGAGCGCGCGCGCGTGGTGTGTGTGTGCGCGCGTGCGTGCGTGCGTGCACCGGACGCACGCACGCACCACGCACGCACGCACACACACATGCGCATATGCATTTCTATAACATCAAGAGATAATAAATACCTGCATATAACATGTGCAATACACCGCATCAGTTGAACATCAGTGAGATTTAATAGCGAAATTTAACAAAGTAAATATTTCTATATTAGCCAAAACAACCTACAACTACTGTATCTACAACAATAGATACATTTTCATTTCATGAAAAGGGAACGTTTCCTTCTACACCTAATATATATTTGCGCATTCGCGTACACGAACTAGAAGTGAACTCCGTTTTATTGAACGCTGAAAGTGTATACCCGTATTAACAGCATATATTAGCTTCATCGTTAACGAGCTACCCCCACTCACCCTTCGATCCCTCCCTACCATCACTGCATAAAGTCCCCACTGATTATCAGCTCTACTACAGCAATATGATGACATCGCTCACTCACACACGCGCCCGCACACACACGCGCTCACGCACATGTGAACGCGGATGAGATGCGAGCCTCTATTCTTGTCTGCGGGTAATTTCTCAGAGATGCACCTGGCCAAGAGCCGCACCTGTGGGAGCTTGAGCGTCTGCTCTCGTTGCCAAGCGGAGACAGCACGACACGCGCTCGCTCTCTCCCGACGGCTGCCCGCGGCACGCACACTCGGGGTACCCGATGCGCTTGTATCAATTGCAATGTCAATCGGCTGCCACTTTCTGCTGCCGAATCATGGGAACACGGGATGACTTAGAGACGCACGATAGGCAAACAATGGCGGTGAATCAATAACAGCAATTGGCTTCTTAATATCCGCTCTGACATTTATCTACTTACACTGCGTGTTCAAAGAGAAATCAAACGGCATGCACGTCTTTGCCACCGGGTGCCGCGGTCGGCCGTAGCTAATTCAACGAAAACAGAAAGAAACTCGTTCGACGCAAATGCGAATCTGCAGAAGTCATATATCTGTGCTTGCTCTTGCTGGATTCGTGTGCGGGCGATTTCGTGACATTTGGCCGTGACAACTAGCCTCCGAAATTGAGCCTCCGAAACGCACCACCACCGCAGCGCTGCTAGGATACCGTAGTTTGTGTTTGAGCAATTATCTGGATAGACACATGAGTCGCACAGCTGACTGAAGACAGATGAAATAGGGGAATGGCTCAGTACTATGTCGGATGTTATTGGCAGTAATAGCGAGATAGAATCTTTCCATGTTTGATAACATGTTTCTGAGGTATGATCTATCGATCACACACAAAAGGTGCAATGTGCATTAAATACCTGAGTTCTAGTAAAATGTCACGTAGCTTCCGTTTACATACACTTTCGCACGCACACACTATCACAATACAGACGGAGGTAACATGTATCTACATGCGCCCGCCCAACACGCACGCACGCACACACTCTCACGATACAGACGAAGGTAACATATGTATCCCCAACACGCACGCACGCACTCTCACGATACAGACGGAGGTAACATATGTATCCCCAACACGCACGCACGCACTCTCACGATACAGACGGAGGTAACATATGTATCAAGAGTAGATAATAACAGATGTTAAATAGTACATGTTAAATTATCTACTCTTGATATGTATCTAGATGCGCCCGCCGAACACGCACGCACACGCATATTCACGCACGCGCAATCAAACGCAGCCACGAACACACACACGCACACGCATGCATGCATGCATGCACGCACGCACGCACGCACACACACACACACACACACACACACACACAC